TAAACGTAGGCGAAAAAACTGTCAAAATAGGTGCAATTTAGGTACCCTCACGTTAGCCAATTTTCAACACGAAGTTTGCAAATTTGACGTTTCAGCAATTTTAGCCTGTATTTTATACTGCAATGTTAAAAGCCTCTCGCTTCGATTTTTAAAATAGCTCAGGAACCTTGATTTTTGCAACGACAGTCATTATGTTTCGTCAAGGATTTTGTAAAGTGAGAATTAAGGATTGGAATCTCGTGGACTATTTGAATTCTCACTACAGTATACAAATCCTTGCTTTCGTTTAAATGGTGTATATTGTTGTGTATATTTGTTTTCTGTCCCCGCAACCTGTCTATCACTTAAATTAAAGTTAAAACAGACATTTTTTTTCAAAATTCCTCATCATTTCAATAAAATTTCCGTGACCCGTATCCGATTTCTTTAGTCACGATGATAATATTCAAATAAGCAAAGTGGCGTTGATTTCTGGATATGGCCATATTTGCTAAAAGGTTATGATGAACCTTAAACTATGTTTGGTTTATTTTGTCACAAATCATATAAGATCCATTTGTTGAATTTAATTCTCGCCTATTTTATGGGTCATAGAAGAATGTGGTAGGGATAAGCCGCTAGAATAGGTATTAACCTTTTCAAGCAATATGATATATATATGTATGATAAGGTTTCTGATTATATATCATAACTCAAGTATCTTTAAAAATCTAGAATTTAAAATTGATACTATAGATCACAAGAGCATTACTTAAGGAACAAAATAAGCTAAGAGTATTGATAGATTATGGAACTCCTTTTCGAGATATATTTATTTATTTTTTAATGGCGGGAAAAGGCTGACTCGGACTTTTACCTTATATTTAGCATTGTCATTATTTGGGTCTCAAAGCGTAAGAAAAGAAATCTAGTATCTGCTTAAATTTTGGCAAATGACCTTTTATGAGCTATTGAAGTCTTATATGAACAGAAAAGTGGTTGATATGAGGCAAACTATTTACCTGTATCGTAGGAAAAAACACAAGAAGTCCGAACATCTGACAAAAATCCCTAAACCTGACTACATCATTTTAAAAACACTTCTCATTCAGACCAAGGGAAGAGGAAGTCTTTACTTTTCCACACACATGCTTAACATTTTGGGTCGGAAGGTAGGCCAACGATTGAATTAAAACAAAAAAATGTTTGTTTCTACAGAAGACAACATGTTGATTTTGATTGCGCTGGACAGGTTGCAAAATTAGGAAGGTCGAGTTTGTCGAAATACAGGTTTTTTTTAGTGTTATTGGTTGCAGTTACATTTACTTGAAATTAAATAAGCTTTGGTACATGGATTTCCCAAATGTAATTTTTGTTTGTTTATTTTTATTTTTAGTTGGATTCTCCACTATGCAAACTTATAAATGTGTTCTGGTTGGTTCTTTACGATTGGGGTATGGTCGCATTCAGTTCTTTTTTTCAAACAGAATATCATTTGATGAGCATCAATGGAGTAATTTAAGCAGCTCGTCAATTATGAGTTACTTTGTAAAAATGTACTGTTCAAAATTTACTCTGAGTACAGACAAACGTGTGTATTTTTAATAGTTTTAAGAAGCACACAAAAATTAGAATACTTTTTATGCATTGGAATTGATCTTTCTATATCCAGTCATACCTTAAAACTTTAAGTCCACATGTTTAGCTGAACCTACAGTAAAACTTGTGGTATAAACACGGCCATGTTTGTCAATTTCTTGAGATGAATCTTAACATTAGATATGGATCGTGAACTATGCTTAAAGTAATCATAACATACATATTAAAAAGGTCAAATGAAAGCCTTTTTCCCCTTATTTCATGATATATGCACATTATCTTCGCTTAAAGTGTTATAATTTTGATGGTTTAGTTATATGTTATTTTGCTTTAAACACTTTTATATTCAGTACATGAACCAAAAAGAATCATTAGTACATGCAGGTCTATGTTTTACCCGAGAACTTGTATCGGTATTTATATACGATTTATGTTTGACATTGTAATTACATGTAAATATAACATAAACAGGAAACTTCAATTTCACTTTGTCTTTCCGTTTGTTATCGTTCATTGATTTCTGACTAATTTCACGTGGTATGTATGGCACACTAGTTTCTTTATTTTACAAATTTCTAGTGTAAGGTTTGATATTGATATTTTTGGATTTATTATTCACCCCGAGTCTTGTGTAGCTTTAGTCGAGCATTTTGATATTGCATTGAAGTTGATCTGGTTAAATTAATACAGTGTCATATGATCATAAGGCCAGCAGTTGTACAGCTTGTCGATCTGCATCACCGCAATGCTATTTATTAGATGGGGAATTAAAGAATGTTAAAGGAACATTTAGTTACATTTGGTTACACAGGCATTTATAAGAACATCACTATTTTTCCTGTTTCCATGGGATCCAATGTAATGTTACAATTTTCCATCAAATATCACTGCGGTGATGACGATCGACGAACTAATAAAGCCGCTAGCAGAGAACTGTTTACTATTGGATAATATGACACAATGTATCTACCAAATTATGATTTGCTGCTGTTGATCCTGCAAGATGTATTACGCTATCACTTTTTATATTGCATTTTTATTCAACAGCTTGTACAACTCGTCTTGGTTTGAGCCGCATGTTTGTTTGCAGTTACGCCGAGGTCCGACTTTGACAGCATTGCAAAGCTGAAATCATCCCTTGTGTCGTAAATTTCTGTTTTAATTCTATCTTCATTATAAAAATAAAGAGATGAGGTATGATTGCCAATGAGACAACTATCCACCAAAGTTCAAATAAAGTGGATGTAAACAATTATAGGCAACCGTACGGCCTTCAACCATGAGAAAAACCCATACAGTATAGTCGGCTATAAAAGGCCCCGACATAAAAAATATATAACAATCAAATTGAGAAATTGTCAATTTCTAGATAAAAGAGTTGTGTTACGTTTTTGTAACATTTATTTTTGAAATAGGTCAAATTCTACTTTTTTTTTAAACAAACCCTTGTCCATGCGCAGTCATTCTATTCATCTTTTCGTATTTGCGATTCTTGGACTGCGTACCTTGTAAATTGACCGTTCACTGGTCTCGACAAATGACGTTATTTTCTTTTATAAAATCTTTCAAGCTTTTTGAGCAGTTCTTAAGTGATTCTAAAACATTGATGTTAATTAAGATCCTAAACGGGTTTAGATACCGTACTGTAATGCTCAATTTTGCGAATTTTGGCTTAATTGAGTCTTAGTTGGCATTTTATGGTAACAAATAATACAAAAAATGAATTCCGTTCGCGCAACACATGTTACTGACTTGAGCTTCTGCTGCAGTTAAGAATTAAAGTTTTGAAAGCCAAAAATAAAACCTTTGAGAGCACAAACCTCAAAAGAACCTTAATAGAACAGTCAAATTCGTCCCAGGAAGAAAATATTACTTCATTTGTGAACAAATTTCAGTGTTAAAATTTCCCCATAATATAGCCTCAAAATAAAAAGTTTACCAACATTCTCTCAGAATCTCAAAAAACCTTCCTGAACTGATTTGATAGTTTTCAATAAGTTATACCTAGTCTGCCATATAAATACATTCAAATATGTTAGCAGAAAATGGGCTTCAATTTAAATCCAAACCCAATACCTGACATCCATAACTGGTCACATAGTATCAGCTTTTTACAACAATACAAATCAAATTACTTTCAGATCTCAAAGAATACTAGTATTGAAAGCGACGGAATAAGTACGAAAAGCCCGTGCCCTCTCAACGAACGGAGTCAGGTTTTTTCAGGCCAATTTGTTCTCATGGTGGAAAAACTTAAGATCTAAAGATTATATTATCAAATGTTCAAATTCTCCTCTATCGTCCTGAACATGTATGAAATATTTGCCACTGTACGTTAAGCAATCAACAATCAATCAGAAAATATCAAAAGCACTAAATGGAACAGCGAAAAACCGAAATATCTGATTTATTGATTGATTGGTTGGTTGGTTGGTTGAAAAGTGTGTTTAACCAGGTTTTATAAAATAGTTATCAAGTTAACGTATTCTCGTCCTGATAACGCATTTAATGTTTGGAACTGGACGTTAAGCATCAAGTTCAAGATAAATGTCACCAACAACAGAATGATATGCATCAAATAATAACACTTCTTAATTTAAGTCTTTCACGCAAATTAAAATGGACATTATTCGAACATAAACATTTCATTCGAAAAGATAAAGAGGCCCTCATGTATATCGAGACCAAAGTATCCATAATATCTATAAAAAATATTAAATAGAAAAATCTGCAATCTTCAATCTATAAGCAAGTAATTTTTTTTTTAAATATTTTTCTGTCATATTTTTCCTTAAAAAAACACATTTATTTTAAATCAGTGCCTGGTGGCTTATCGTCTAGTAAGTCTATGCAGAAAAGGGCTGAAAAAGGCTGAAAAATCTGCGTCCAGGATGTCATCACATTTGATAAACTAAAAGTTTTCTTGACGACTTTGGGTTAAAATCATCGCTTTTTATAACAAAGAAATTTTAATATTTATGTTATTAATGAAACAACATCTATTACATTATTACTCTATTTGGGCCATCGTGTCTAAGGAAATAAACAAAATTGCATGAACAGATATTTTGATTCACTGAATAATTCAATATATTTGAAATCTTTCATGAAAACAATATTTATGATCTGTATCTTAGTCAATATAATCTTTTAAAGCTCACCTCACACAAATAAACAATTCTAATTTGTTTCAAATGTTTTATTGGCTTTGGTTGGGTTTTATATGTACACCCAATATCCAATTGGTAAATAGTTCTTCCGCCCAGACTTCCAGAATGGTGGCAGTTGTCCAATAGTTCAATTTAAATACATTTGTTGTTTCGGTGATTCAGTTGAAATATTTACCATAATGAGACTAATGACTAATGAATAACAGTTCCTTAATTATGATTGTACCTTTAAGTTTTACCTTTCAGTGTGAAATGGAAAAAACAAGACAGTTGTTGATGAATTTCCTAGTATATCCATTGCAATCACAATCTACAGTCAGTTATTCTGAGGTACCAGCTAGATTTTATGAACCGGGAATTCTCCATGGCTACAGACTGACAAATCACAATATCTCGTATTATTTAAAAAGTATCTTCAACGTTCATAATGAGACAGGTAATATTTGGACACATCTGATTGGTTTTGTGCTAGTAGCGTATGTTTTAGCACAGTATGGAACGATATTTGAATTTTGGAAAGAACGCCATTCCTGTCCAATATTAATTTATGGAATTACCGCTCTTGTGTTGAACGCATTGAGCACAAATGCACATATCTTCCATTCGATGTCTTTAAGTGTGCATGACATCGTGTATTTGCTTGACTACTGCGGAATTTCATTTATGGGGTTTGGTAGTGGAGTTCTGGTCCTTTGTATGTTCACAGATGATCCTACCTATAGAACAGTTAACAGTTTTTATTTTGCTTTATTATGGATATCGTCCTTTGTTCTATTTGCAATATTATGCTTTCTGAGATTAACACCAGGAATGAATAAAAAAATCCGAAAGTATCTCACAGTTGCCACATGTGGTACACATTTAACGCTGATAGCTATTTTAATTGCACCAAGATACTATCACTGTTATATGGACAGTGAATGCAGTATTTGGTCACTGAACAATATCAGTCTGATGTTTTTATTGTCAGCTCTGCAAGGATTTGCACTTGGTAGCCACTTACCAGAGGTAATATTTCCAGGATGGTTTGATATACTTGGTCATAGTCATCAATGGTTACACATCTTTAGTGTCTGGCAGGAGATGACTGTGTTAAAAGTTGGATACACAGAACTAATTCGAGGATCGACACGTGATCGTAATTTTCCAACTATTTCATTTTTGTTATCAACAACTTTTTTGTTGTTATTCATGAAACTTTGCTTTCTTTTTTACATGGTTAGAAAACATTTGAAAAGTCGTAAACATAGACATTGAATACATATTTACTATCAATAATAAAAACCTGTCTTGTTGCTCCATTCCATTTTGGAAATGTTAAACTTTTGTACATAAGTCGTTAGTTTTCTCGTTTGAATTGTTTTACATTTGTCATTTCGGGTCCTTTTATAGGTGACTATGCGGTATGAGTTCATTGCTGAAGGCCGTACGGTGACCTATAGTCTTAAACTTCTATGTCAATTGGTCTGTGGTAGAGAGTTGTCTTATTGGCATCTTCTTAATCTATATGTATATATTCATTATATTATATAGGTTTGAACGTTGTTTTCAATTTAGACTTGTTTTCATTATATTATATATATATTTTTCATAAACATAAATTTTATCTTATGAACACATATTTTGATTTGTTAAATTCATATTTTGTTTTTATGAATACATATTTAATTTTATGGAAAATATATTTGGTTATATGAACATATATTTATATTTTATAAACAAATATTTTTTTATGAACATATATTAATTTCTTATGCATATATAATTCATTTTATGAACATACATGTGTATATTTATTTTTATGCGTATGATATATTTTGTTTTTATGAACATATGTTTAATTTTTATGAACAATTATCTATTTTTATAAACACATATTTAATTTTTTGTGAATATTGAAATGTTTGACATGCCATACACAATGAACTCTTTGTAAAATTTTACGGCAGCAAAGAGACTATTTTCAGGGAATTAAAGAATCCACATGTTTAGAAAGTATGATAGAAATATGTTGCCAGCTTCTGTAAGAATTATCTTTCAGAAGCCATTAAGTCGGGCAGAAATATGAGGGAACTATTGAAACAAAGGACATTAATTCAAATGTTAATCCAGAACAATTTTTTTTTACATGTATTTTGGCAGTGGGAATACTTTCTGAACTTTTAAAACTAGATAATATATAAATAAAGTGGTTAGACGCAATAAATCCAAATGTCTTCAAAATATCAACCACTGTTATCTGGGAATCACCTGCACATATTTTAATTATCGTCTTTACAGTGGAAAGTTCCATCAAAAATCAAATTGGCTCGCGAAACTCTAGTTTATAAATCAAACAATGACTCAGATATGAATAGTAATAGATATTCATCTGTTTTCTATAATTATCTAGTTCATGTGTTTCTCAAACTGTTTATGACGTTTTTACACTAAATCCGTTGTATGTGTACTACTTGATACTATAGTTTTAGAGAACATGAATTATGTATTAGTTGTGATTGACTTTGAACTAGCTTTCAGTAACTGTGATCACTCTTATAGCGGTGCTTCAGGCTTTTTGTCTATTGTTAGTATGTCAGTTGTTTTTTGTGCTTCGTACCTATCTATTGAGTTATGCCATTTGCGACTGATTTTTACAGTTCGTTCTTATGTTGTGGTGTTACATCACTGTCTCAGGTTAGGGAGGGAATATATGATTTACGACTTATATACATAAACATATCTTTTATGTATAACTGATTTACATTTTTACTTTGTCTGATTTGTATGCAGATGATACTACTGTTCATTACTCATCTGGATCAGTAAGTGATATTTATTTTATGTAAAATATAAACATTCAAAATTCTAGAGCTTTTTGTAAAGCAATGATATAGTTATGATTGCAACTAGATCAAAATCTATGTTAGCAGGATCAAATCGCAATAAAAACGGTGGACTGAAATCTGAAAAATGTAAGACGATGTAACGCTCTAAAATCTGTCTCAAATTCATGAAATCTCTAATTAGTAATGCATAGATTATTTTTCAAATTGGTATGTTGTTGATGCATAAATTTCTATTTTAATGATGTTAATGATAGATTCACTGACATCGTTTTTTCCAGAACGCATCAATAAAAGTGGTGTTGTAAGTGAAAAAAAATACTGCAAAACGTCGAAATGGCGCATGGCGTTGTAAGCCGTAAAACGTCGATTTTTACGTTTTTTTAATATACTAACTAAGGAACAGATTTGTAAATACACCAAAAAAAAAGTCGGTTTCCCTATGAAGATATAATATCAACCAAACGGAAATTTATGCATAAAATATCATATTGATTTTGAAGAAAAAAATATGCATTTGTAATTGGAGATTTTGTGATTTTTAAAAGATACAATTAAGACCGTCTTCGACGATTTTATGTGCTTTGTATACAAATGTTCATCTATAATAAAACAATTCAAATAGTAATGTTTCAGAAAATAAAAGAGACAAATGCATTATTTGTTTCGATTTTCAGCTAAAGTCCGATAAGCCAACTTTTTTTTACCAAAAGGAGTAGAGGCCCAGTTTTGGTCCAAGAAAATAAAGTTTATGAAAACTATTAAAATTTGCACATAATGTTTTGAAATGCGTAAAATCAAGAAATATAAATTAATTACATAACATTTTTTGTGTTATGACGCTAGACGTCATCATGCGTCATAATATGCCCCGTTTTCATGAAAACTAAGAACACTGAAGAATGTTTGCAGTTTCCCATCGTTATTTCTTTTGTGGAAACATCGTGCGCAGCCAAATACAAAAACAAATAAATAAGAGAAGCTTTATTATAACTATTGACATAATCTCACCAAATATAAAGTTGTTTCTTGGGTGCGCATGTACTTTTTTAATCCAATATATATTTACAAGTTTTAAGAATATGTATGGTAACTTTTTAATTTACACTAATATACGGGCCACATAAGGGCATTATTGCTACCACTCAAAATTTTACCAAAATCTGTGGCATAGCCCATTTCCTGTACCTTGACCTAAAGTTCATACTATCTTAACGGTAAACTTAAAACATTTTTTTTAACAATTTCATAAGGAGTAGTAATTTCCAAGAATGTCAAAGCGTTTTTTTCTGGACATTTTGAAATTATGTTTTATCCAGAAACCATAACTTTTCACTGGGTTTTTTTTTAGAAATATATTAAAGGAATAGAATCAATATCAAAAATTGTAAACTACAAGTTTATATAAAAATAAAAAGATGTATGATTGGCCATGAAACAACTCTCCACCAGAAACCAAATGACGTAGAAGTAAGAAATTATAAGCCACCGTACGACCTTCAACAATGAGCAAAACCCATATCCCGCATAGCAAGCTATAAAAGGCCCCGAAATGACAAATGTACAACAATACAAACGAGAAAACTAACGGACTGATTTATGTACGAAACAATTAACAGAAAAAAAATGATATACAGCAACAAATGACAACTTCTGAATTATATGTGCTCTCCAAGCTGCGAAGATTCGCATCTGAATGACTATAACTGTGTCGGAGTTCTGTTGCAAATACATAATGTATTCATGCATACGTAACCCCGCCACATTCTGTATGTGCCTGTCCCAAGTCAGGAGCATGTAATTCGGTGGTTGTCGTTTGTTGCTGTTTATCATATTTGTTTTTGGTTCATTATTTTGTACCTAAATCAGGCCTTTGGTTTTCTTGTTTGAATTGTTAAACTACATGTGTCATTTTGGGGCCTTTTATTGCTGACTATGCGGTATGGGTTTTACTCATTATTGAAGGCCGTACAATTTCTGTGTCATTTGGAGAGTTGTCTCATTGGCAGTCATACTGCATCTTCTTATTTATATATATATATACATTATGTGCACGGGTTACACTGGAAATCGCTTTGACAATAGAGAAGATAACAACGGGAAAATGAAAAAAAAAACACACATCGATGGAAAATTGATAACACCACGGCCAAAAAGAATAAAACGACGAAAAAACAAACATCAGTGAGTCTACAAATATGAAAAATCAGATTAACCAATATAACTAGGGGCAAACTCATGTTCTCCGGAACTGGCATGATAATAGGAACTGCTTTATACATGTAAAAGCAAAAGAAAGCATAATAAACTTTTAGGTTCATTGATATATACATATACGCTTGACTGTCACGGAAAAAAGAGAGCAATCGGAAACCAATTTAAAAAGGTCAAGGTTTTGCTCATTCGTTATTTTCTGGAAACAAACATCAAATACTGTTTTTTGAATCTTTAAAGGACATTACAACTGAATGGTTAAAAACTTGTCATTTTCGAAAAATGGTGATAAGTGGTCCGGAAACCATTTATTTGGAGAATTTTCCTTAATTGTTACCTGAACAGAACAATACCGAAAGTTCAAAACTACATCTCAGTAAAGCTGACAAAAGTAAAAAAAAAAATATCATCTAACTTTCAACAAAATCTATGGCTTTAGATGAACACAACGCAGAGAAACACAAAAAGAAAACAGAACAATTTTTTTTTAATTTCGAGAGGAGAGGTAGGACTACTGTTCAAACATAATCCGATGTAGTGATTTTGATTGGTAAATAATATCAATCAAAAGCGAAAAAAAATCCCTTTGTATCTCATTTATGTATACCCACGTTATGATATGTTCAAAACATGATTACAAACACCATGACAATCACACAATAACAAAAACGTGGACTCTTTTCTTACATAACCTGCTAAAAATCATAGTATTCAAATAGTGATTTATTTGATACTTTTTCCTTCGTTTGGTATTGTTGGTATATGTAGTTTCTGTTAAAGATTTTTTTCCGAAAACGTCTACCCTAATGGCTATTTATCTCTTGAAATACAGATATTGATACTTACATATGGCTGAAGACGTATAGTAACCTATACAAGTCTTTGGTTTTTTTTTGTGTCGTCGGATTGTGACCTCATTAACCAACACGTCCTTTTTTTCATGTCTAAGCTTATGATTAATTACTGTTTTGTGCTACTCCATATACATTTTTTCTTGCTTTCATTTTGTATACCATACTTTCCCTGTATTTATGATCAGGATAATATTCAATGCTACTCAATGAAAATAATACTTGAAAGTTTTGGCACGTCCAATATCTTCATCAAGAACGCTCAATCAATAGTTCTTTAAAACCAAGGATGTTTAAATAATTGAAACTTGAACGCTATATAGCAAAAACGCTAAAAAAAAAGGAAAGTCAAATCCATCTTATGTTGATATCATGTACTTATACTTCGCCATTACACAATGCTCTTTGCTGAATGTTTATGTAATGACGTCTTTGCACTAAATTAGTAGGATGTGAACTTATTTATACCGTAGTCTGGGAGAACATGGTTTTATTTATAAGTTGTTATTGGCTTTGAATTAACTTTCAGTAACTGCGAGTACACTTAAATCGGTACCTTGTGTCTTTATTCTTTGTATAAGTTTTTTT